CCCCAGACACACAATATGTAATGCATGCATACAGACTGGGATTTAACCTCATGATTTATAAAATGAATTTTGGTGTGCATAAGTATACTAGGCCTAAAAGACGCTTCCTCTTCTCTTTGAGCATTGAAGGCGATAGGATCTTTGATTGTTCTAAATTTCATTAACCGTTTTAGATGTAATATTATTTTGTTAAAACAAATAATGTGTGAGGTGCTTTTTAAAAGATGCTGATATAGGCCTATATGTTGTTACTTTTTTTTTCTCTCACCTGAACAGGACCGAAGACGATATTTTTTTGGTGTCCCTTCGCGAAATGGGTAAGTAAAATCAAAGATAGTACAAGAGTCTTGTACTATCTTTGGTAAAATGTTGCATATTTCATGTGTTAGGAGAAAAACTTTTATTTTGTGTTTGCCTAATAGTGGTGTCCGATTGTGTATGTTATTGTTATGACTTTTTGGTATCTAGGCCTATGGCTCTATGTGTGTACAGTATACGAAGTCCAGATGGGAAAGTGGCAAATTGACTTTCCATCTCCGTCGTTGCCTGTATCGGTCTATTACATTGGCTTTTTCTTTTCTCGTCGTTGTCTTCTTCAGATTTATGAGGGGGAAAGGGGGGCAGGGTGCGTAGAAGTCATCCACTGGCACTACATTAAAAAAACCCAACCCAGACGCACAGGGATAGAAGGGTTTTATGCCTAATACCCTAACCCGTACTGACGGTATAAGAATTGCAAGGTATTTTCCTGACTGCAAAGTCTTTTTTTCTACGACTATACTGCTGCACCCCACTCACCCCCTGTTGTTTTCCTCTATTCATTGTTCAACGCGTAGGCCGACCGGTATCTTCTTCACTTTGAAGGAGCTCAAAAGAAAAGACTCAATGTTTTCTTTTTACTACTCTATTGACTCGACCGACTCTTATATTAGATCTATATAAGATTGATATCGTCTCATTTCAAGGAACTTTTTTGTTGTTGTAAGTGTTTTACGGCGCTCACTGCTGCATAAGGTCATATGAGCGCACGGGACACACCAAACATTTTCAGTTGGTAGGAAATTTTGAATTTTGCCCAGGTGGCGACCGAAGCCTACTCTGATCGATTTTGGACCACCAAGGGATCTTTAATGTGCGCAACTTGCACACGGGACTTCCGAGATTTTTCACCCTTGTCCGAGAAGGCTATGTGCAGATCTTTCCTTCCAGAAGATTAGGGGTGTGGCTGAAAGTCAGAAGTAAGAAGGAGCCAAGGAAAAGCAGTGGAAAAGCTGTAAAAAGAATCAGGAACCCCGAGGAGGAGCAAAGGAGGTGAGGGGGTGGGGACAGACAGTGGAGACGAAAGCAGACGACATAATATTGCTAGAGAGAAAGAAAGGAGGTGAAAGAAGACAATTTTAGAGAAGAAAATTGTTCCGTCGCTACCCTGATTCGAACCCGGGACCTTTGAATGAGAGGCGATCACCTTAACCTCTAGGCCACGAGAGCCACAGTACACTCTTTGAAAAAAAAAAGGTTAGAGGGTGTACTACAGAGTTTCTGCTATTACTTCCTCTCCTGTCGTGTTCTGGAGAACGCCCAGAATGACATCAAGCTACACCCGAACCCCCTTCCAACAACGCAATAGACAAGAGACACAATGTACTTTGTACATTGTAATTTGTGGTTCAAGGATCAAGCGAAAATCCAGACAAAGTGACCCCCCTCCCTTTCGTTATTTAAATAATTGTATCGTTCCGGTAAATATAGCATGAAGGCTACGCAAAGTGATGGACTCTCACGATCTGAATGCAGTAGTCAACATGTACGACCAAATATAATAATACTAATAATTATAATGTGTCGTCACGTACCTGCCTTCACAAACATATCCGCATATGTGTGTGTGTGTGTGTGTGTGTGTGTGTGTGTGTGTAT